CCTATTAGTTATTACCTAACGCTAGGCTTGGGTACAGTTCAGTTTCGGTTCGGTTTCAGTCTAATCAAAATTAAATTTTCAACTTTTTTTTATTTTTTTTTTATTTTTAGTAACTAAAAACCTAACCAACTTCTTTATAAATTTTTTGGTTTGGTAATTAAAATAATTTGTTTTAATATTTTAATTATCAATTCTAATCGAATTTTTTATTATTTAATTAAAATTTTAAAAAAACTAATCACCATTTATATCTAATCATTTAGTTAATTTTTTTAATGGTTTTCAATTACTTATTTGATTAACGGGCCGTTAGCCCAGCCTTACTTGAGGCCCGCCTTTACTTGACGCCCTCCTTTGTATAACAATTCTTTTTTACATAAGTTCCTATTGTTATTGTTAAAAACTATGTTGATGCATATAAAAAAAATTATTAATTGAATCTAGCAAAAAAAAATTAGATAGATAAATATTAAAGATTAATATATACTAGTTTCGATTTTCAAAAAAATTAAAATTATAATCTATATTTAAAAATTAAAATCTCAATTTGAAAATTTATTTTATTAAATATTAATATTTAAATTTAAAATTTAATTATATTAAAATATAATCAATTTTTAAATTTAAATATTAATATTTAATAAGATAAATTTTTAAATTTTAATTAAATAAAATGAGGTAATTTAAAATTAAAATTTTAATTTATATACAAAATCAAAATTAATATACAGTTTTTTTCTTAAAAATTATTGTGATAAATAATTTTCAAGGTTGATGTTTTCTTTAAGTAGAGGTTTGAAGACTCGAAGTGAAGTCAATGTTCCCTACAATTCTTACATATATTTGACTTTGTTGTTTTTGGGAAGGGAATCTATGTACGTTTTTTTCCAAATGAGAATTCAGCATAGGCATGCCCGGGAGTTGTACAATATTCTTAAATTGACGGGGAATTATACTGTCGTGATAAACGAGTTCTGGACCTTCTGGTTCGTATCATAAATAAGTCAAACTTCAATACCAAAAATGTCATAAAAGAGAGCGCTTTCATAAATTGCCTTCAAGGAAAAAAAAAATTTTCTTTTATGTTATTCTCCTTCCATCTATTTCGCCTCAACCCCACATCTCGGTGGGAAATGTTTTTTCTTTCTCCATAATTTCTCCTTGAAATCACTGTTTAAACTCCACTCATTTAGGTTATTATTATTATAAAAAATTAACTATTTAACATGGTAAAATTTTAAATTCTTAACCTTAATCTCTTACTACTATTTTAGGTTAATAAGTAACATTGTAATTAAATTCTTATATTTTTGTTGGTTACTCATTTAGTCTCTTTTTTGGTATTTAAAAATTATATTAAATTTTAATTAATTTATAATTAAATCACACTAAATATTATAAGATAAATTTTTTAAATACTTATTTTTCCACTTACAAAATTTTAATTTAAAATTTTATTTTAAAAAGTTAAATTATTTTAGTTATTACTACTCCCTCGGTTCAACTTTGCGGCTCCGTGTGATAAACGTCTTTCCTCTGAATCCATTCCATTTCCATTTTCGACCTTCCCATCATCCCCTGTGTCATACTTTCACAACACACACAGAAGTCAAGGAAATAATGAAAGGCATGAAAATATTAGTAAAAAAACAAACTCCCACAATCCCAGGGACACTCCCAAGTTCGGAGGCCACAAAGTCCTGCGAATTTCAGTGGAATAAATCATAAACCCCATTTGCTTTTCTATTTTTGTTTCTAAGTCCTTTCCGTTGAAACCCATTACGGGGGAGGTTAAACTTGAAAGGGGTGTTAGAGATGTGCACGAGGATTCTGGAAAGGTGCTTCGGAATTGGCGGCGGGGATGGGCTGTTGTGGCATAAGGACTTGAAGCCGCATGCTTCAGGGGAATACTCCATAGCAGTGGTGCAAGCAAATTCATCTCTGGAGGACCAGGGTCAGGTCTTCACTTCTCCTTCCGCCACCTACATCGGCGTTTACGATGGTCACGGCGGGCCTGAAGCTTCCCGCTTTATCACCCAACATTTGTTCCCTTTTCTTCATAGTAAGTGAGCATTTCTTAGAATCTTCGATTTTGCCTCTTCTTTTTTTTTTTTTTCTTTTTTTTGGGGGGGGAGTCAAGTTTTAAGCTAAAAGTACATTCTTTTATTCAATTATGTTAGAATTTGAGTCGGAGCAAGGAGGGTTATCGGCTGATGTAATAAGGAAGGCATTTGATACAACGGAAGAGGAGTTCTTGCACTTGGTGAAGCGATTGTGGCGAGCACGGCCGCAGATTGCTTCTGTTGGTTCATGTTGTCTTGTTGGGGTCATTACTAATGATGATTTATACGTTGCAAATCTTGGGGATTCAAGGGCGGTGCTTGGCCGGAGAGTGTCCGGAAATCAGACTGATAATCAGGTGGTGGCAGAACGGTTGTCTACTGATCACAATGTTGCTATTGAGGAGGTGAGAAGAGAGGTTAAGGCTCTTCATCCTGATGATTCTCACATTGTAGTGTATAGTCGCGGAGTTTGGCGGATTAAGGGTATAATTCAGGTGACAATTCTTGAATTTCTTTCACTTCTTTGATTATCATTTCCTTATTTGGCTTTATCATTAGTTGGAAGATGGTACAAATGCTGCAGGAACATGAAATGCATTAATTTGTATTTTCACTGTTTTGGTTTCTACTTTCTGGATCATTCTGTTGACCTTTAACGAATCACATGGTATCTGTTATGTTATACTTATTTTTAGATGCATATCTGTTTTTGCTTTCTTGCTTGTGGCTGGTATGTTTTGCTTATGATTTGGTTCTCCAACGTTCTCGTCATGGCTGGTATCATGTGATGTACTAGGCCTAATTTCAGATTAATACCTTTCTCATGTTCTAGGTCTCGAGATCGATTGGAGATGTATACCTGAAGAAACCTGAATTCAACAGGGATCCTCTATTTAGGCAGTTTGTATCACCTGTTTATTTAAGAAGGCCAGTAATGACAGCAGAACCGTCCATATTGAGTAGGAAGCTGAAACCTCATGACTTGTTCTTGATATTTGCATCTGATGGACTTTGGGAGCAATTAAGTGACGAAGCCGCAGTTGAGATTGTTATCAAAAGCCCCCGAGTCGTAAGATCTCGATCTTATAACTTAATTTCCACACATTTCACTTGTTATGCGTGTGTTGGGATCTAATTGGCAGTAATTAATCATCCTACCTTTTGTAGGGAATAGCAAAGCGATTGGTGAGAGCTGCACTTCAAGAGGCTGCAAGGAAAAGGGAAATGCGATATGATGACATAAAGAAAATTGAAAAGGGAGTAAGACGCCATTTTCATGATGATATCACTGTAATTGTGATATATCTAGATCATCCTTTGGGTTCTTCTAATGGCAGATTCAGGGCTAAAAGTCTCGCAAGCTGCACGAGTGCACCGGTTGACATCTCTCTCAATGCTGGACAAGCTGCTGACACACTTCAAACGGTTGTTTGAACCAAACTACGTACTCCTAGGGCATGTATGGTCTGGTATCAATAAGCTGCATATGGATTGGTGCATCCTTCCTTGAAGGCAGGATAATTTTTGAAATAGTGGTCATTTTAGAAGATTGTACATAGTTTTGTTCATGAACTATCAAGGATGCCAAATTGTAGAAGATGCAAAGTGCAAAAGACAATGGTTGGATGGAGGCAATTTCCTGTTCTGGTATGACCTGATCAACCCTTCATCTGAATCAGGGCCAGAACATTGTCCATCCACTGGAAACAGGAATAAAGTATGAAGGGGCAAGGCTGCCTAGTGACGCTATTATACCAATTCTTTTGAACATGAATTGATGGGGATGGATTTGATTAAAAAACTGATTAAAGGCTCTAATTAATTATGTCAAACAACTCAATATTTCATCATTTTGGCTAAGATCCCCAAGCACCAGCTTACAAAGAGGTAATAATGATAATTAATGACTGAGAATGTCTCTATAAATTAATGCTTGTCCAACAGCTTAAAATTTTCAGTGAATAGCTTATTCATTTTATATCAGGATCCAAATCCTGTTTCCACCTTGTCCTTAATGTATATAGAGTGAATTCCCTAAATAGTCTATACATGTGACATGTCATCTGTTCTGGAGCAATATGTATGTCCACAATCCCAGTAGGCTTGGATGTATATGAGATTTTAATAAAGTTATTCTTATTCTTATTGAGACCACTTATGCCTGGAAAGTTGATAGGTTAGAAATATGAATGATGCGTTGTCAAGTTCTATTTCCAGATGTATATATATATATATTGCATCAGTAAGCATTACTTTTGTTCCTGATCACCAGCTGAATATTTAGAATTTGATAAGAAAGGAACTCATCAAAAACCTGGGACCAAAAGAAAAAGAAAAAGAAAAAAGCCATCAATCTAAATTTCTAGCCTGGCACTTTTGCAATGTGGCCTCATATTCTGTAGGAATTTTTTTTTTTGAAAATGGGAATTTTGGGGGAAGGGAGAAAATATTATAATGGTCCCTATTGAGACTTGAACTTATGTATGGATCAAGATTTTTGTTGCACATTATCAACCCAACTGAGGCTCATATATATTCTATAGGATTAGGATGAGGATTCTAAGGGGGATAAATGCCATTGGGCCACCTCCTGGGCTCTCTTTTGTTTGTGAAAACCTCGACAGCATAGCCCCCAGTAGGGCACCTTAGAATTGGACTGCACTAGGGTTAAAAAGGAAGGTGGGTAGGGGAAGAAGAACCCTTGGAAAGAGGATTTCTGTTTTCTTTTTTTTTTTTTTAGTTACCCAGTTCACATTCGGACAAATATTCTTTTCACCTCAGCACTTA